ACATCAAACAAACGAAAGCTTGTAGACTTAAACATTAGGTAGCATATTACAATAATCATAACTTTATATGCTAAAATACTAACGCTTTAGATAACAGTAGCTGAATCGAGCCCTGCCATAACAGTAGAAAGTCATAAGTAACTTGTTCATACAGTTAGTTTCCAGAGATATCATGCTAATGTCTCCTTACTTGTTATAAGGGTTCGAGACCCGTGAAGATTCCGGGGTAGAGTAGGTCCTCAGCAACCCATGCTTGCCGTAAAAGGTGACTCTGCTTGTCGTAAAAGGCGACTAACGGGATCGGGTGGTCAGGCTCGCTGACTTGGTTGAAGCATGTCATCGATCCCAATTGCGTGGATCGATACTCATGATATTAATCACTGGATTCTCTGGTCCAGACTCGATTATTTACAGACCGCCGTCATATAGCTGGAATATTGCTGAGTTCGGCGTTAAACAACAAACAAACAAACAAACAAATACAAGGGTTCGAAATTCCTTCTATTACTGTGGCAGTGTGGTTGCCTCGTGGTTAAAGTGTTCACTTGTCACCCTGAAGAACCAGGTTCAATTCCCCACATGGCCACAATGTGAAGCCCATTTCTGGTGTCTCCTGCCACAGTATTGCTGAAATATTGTTAAAAGTGACATTAAACCATACTCACTAACTGGCTTGTATTAATGTGCAAATGACAGGGTAGGTTCTTAAGGGCGGATTTAAAAATGTACTGTCGCCTTAATGACACCATTCGGAATCTCATTCTGTGTAATAAAAACACCTTGTGATGCTTTTTGTCATGTGATGCCCATGCTTAAGTTACTTCTGCACAAATATACTGGACAAACAGAAACATGCATAATATACAGAAATTCAAATAAGCTATTACTTTTTTCATTGAAATGCATTCTGGTTGGCACATTTGAGTCCCAGAGGGCACAGCTGCACATCCATATGCTCTGTCACACTGCATGCTCTGTCACACTTGATCATGTTAAAAGCAATCTAAAGCACTGATCATTGCATGCTCTTGGGCCTTTTCTGTACAACAAACCTGTATCGGCCTTTGAACAAAGCTGGTGCCCATCATGCCAGAGGATGGTCAGGTAGCATAGTGGTTAAGGTGTTCGCTCATCACGCCGAAGACCCGGGTTCGATTCCCGATATTCAAGCCCAATTGCGGTGTCCCCCACCATGATATTGCTGGAATATTGCTAAAAGCAGCGTAAAACCAAACTCACTCCCATCATGCCACGGTTACAATTAGTGCCCTATTCCATACTTATCATGCTTATATATTCAGTGTGGTGTCTGGGTAGTGGGTAGCCTTGAGGTGTTTAAGGTCTGTGTTTGATTCTCCACATGGGTACAATGTGTGAAGCCCATTTCTGCTATTCCCTGCAGTGATATTGCTGGAATATTGCTAAAAGAGGCATAAAACCATGCTTACTTACTGGATGGTGGAGTAGCCTCGTGGTCATCACATGAAAGGACTCAGGTCAATTCACACACACACCCCCCCCCCCCCCCCCCCTGCCATGGAATATTGTTAAAAGCCTCAAAGAAATAGTAACTGACTCATTAATAGGTCTAAGTCATTCATTTAGAAACCAAATTCTGCATTTTGAGTTCGATGTGTGATGCAGCAGCATCGCGACACTTCATCATCAGTAAGATCATTCAAACAGACTCAGACTTTTGTCCATTTAAACTAATGCTTGCCGTAAAAGGCGACTAACAGGATCGGGTGGTCAGGCTCGCCGACTTGGTTGATACATGTCATCGGTCCCAATTCCATGGATCGATGCTCATGATCGGGTGGTCAGGCTCGCTGACTTGTTTGATACATGTCAACGGGCCCAATTCCATGGAGTGACACGATTATTTACAGACAGCCGTCATATAGCTGGAATATTGCTGAGTGTGGCGTTAAACAACAAACCAACCAACCGACCATTTAAACTAGGCTTAAACTCTGTAAATTGACAAGCTTATTAACTTAAAGACTTTAAAAATTACTTCACTCGTATGAATGAAGCTTGCATCTAAGATTGTATCGGTAGCTTCTTGTGGAATTGTGTTCATTCCTAGGGTGAAACTATTGCTTTAATTATCGGCAAGTTACATCAGGAGACAGTTGGAAAAATTAAAATTTGCAGGATCTCGTACTAAAGACAGCTTGACATCTGATGTCAGTGTAACCAGAGATGGTACTATCACGTGGTGATAATCTAGCTGGCTTCACTGATTGTGCAGTAAACATTCATCTGAAACCCCTGGAGAATATTTATGGCAATTTGTATCCCATTACACGAATTCTATCCTATTTGTAATACCGTGAACACTTGAATAAACCACACCGCTATGAAAGGGAATTCACTCCCCAATGCAAACATGCTTGGATTCAGTACTGAAATTGTTGTTTGTAATGGTGTCATGGATGGGACTGTAATTGATAATCAAATAATCTGAAGGATGTTTTCAAATCTCTGAATGGTGCAGATACATGGCAATCCTCATATTGGGGCGGTCGGGTAGCCTAGTGGTTAAAGCGTTCGCTCGTCACATCAAAGACCTGGGTTCGATTCCCGACATGGGTACAATGTGTGAAGCCCATTTCTTGTGTCCCCCGCCGTGATATTGCTGGAATATTGCTAAAAGCGGCGTAAAACCATTCTCAGTCAGTCAGTCAGTCAATCCTCATATTACGTGATTTTGACAGTCCAGTTTTCGATCCTGCTTAGTGTGTCAAATGTGTCCTATGTGAGTATTGTAGTGTAGTTTGGCAGTCAGCGCAAGTCTCTGTCAGCTTTCTGTTCGACTGCACACAGGAATGTCTGCTGTCTGTTGTGCTTCAGTGAGCGGGGGCCACCTCCCACTCACAGTTGTAGGTGTGTAGTCACATGGCTGTGACACAGCAGCAATAGTGCTGACTAACACACACAACATACACTCACCAAGGATTTATCTAGGACTCCAAACTAAGTGCCCATGGCACGCAAAATTGGAAAAACATCAGGTATTTGGAAATTTTTAAATTAAATTGGGTATGTTTACTGTCATTTGTGACAGACTCAGGGCCAAAAGCCTCCCTCTGAGCAGGTCTAGGTGAATCCCTGGGTGCCCTGGTTGTACGAAACAGCTTCGGGGTACGACTGTCGTAGGTCGATGTTAAAGTATGGGAGTTACAATCACCTTAGCACTAAGATAGCTTTGTACAACAGCACCCTGGTAACAGCCTAAGAATAATAAATTCTCACTCATCTACTTGCCCAAAGACAAGTAAAAATGATGAAAAGTAGTGACTGACGACACGGTCATATCTTACTGTTGAGTCAGCTGACAGTTTTCACTTCTATTCATTTGAGTGTGTTGATGAGGGAAGGGAGGTAACTAGGGTAGCATTGTTAATGAAGCGTGGACAAATGTTTCTTTTGGGGGGCATTTCTACTGCCAGAGATAACTAAAATATTTTTAAGTTTATTTCACTTCCAATTCGGGGTAGAGTAGGTCTTCAGCGACCCATGCTTGCCTTCAAAGGTGACTATGCTTGTCGTAAGAGGCGTGGTCAGACTCACTGACTTGGTTGATGCATGTTACGGTATAATAGTATCCCTATTGCGTGATCGATGCTCATGATGTGAATCACTGGATTGTCTGGTCCAGACTTGATTATTTACAAACTGCCGTCATATGAATGGAATATTGCTGAGTGTGACGTTACACAACAAACAAACAAACAAACAAACAAACAAAATCACTTCCAATTCACTCCTCAACGTGGCCAAATCAGATAACGAAAAAGGAGATGAATTCTTTACATTTCTTCATAACAACAAATTTTCGAATGAATGTTGGCTTAGCTGAAAGTTATTACTGTGGGAACTTTATAGGGGTATAAAAAATTCCATCATAATGTGCTATTGTGATAGCTTGCAGTTCTCTATCAGAATGGGGCGGTTTAGTTAAGCCTACTAGTTAAAGCGTTCACTCTCACACTGAAACCCAGGTGTTGATTCCCACATGGGTATAATGTTTGAAGCCCATTGGTGTGTCAAGCAATGATATTGCTTGAATATTGCTTAAACATGTTAAACTGTTTTCATTTTTTACCTGGGCCCCCACAATTAAAGTCTTGGAGTCCACTGGACCACCATGGTAAACAACCCAGGTAAATCCCAGTTGTAGACGTAGATTTGTGAAAGTCGAACAATGGGCCATGTTCACAACGATTCGCATCAATATGCTGTAGAATAGGTCTTCAGCAACCCATGCTCGCCGTAAAAGGCGACTTACGGGATCGGGTGGTCAGGCTCGCTAACTTGGTTGATGCATGTCATGGATCCCAATTGCGTGGATTGATGCTCATGATATCAATCACTGGATTGTCTGGTCCAGACTCGATTATTTACAGATCGCTGGAATATTGCTGAGTGCGGCGTTAAACAAAAAACCAAACCAACGTTATGCAGTACTTTTTTCCATAAGTTGATATTCTTCCTGTTTGCAGATGAATCACAACCCTGAATCATTTGTTCTTAAATTTCAGAGATTGAAGATAGGATATTGTAATCCCGAAACATATAGGCACAGTGAATGTTATGCTATTTATTGCCAGCTGGTAAATACCAGAGAATCTACACACACTGGTGTTTAACAGTTTCTGTTATTAGCCATGTATTTTACACCAATATGATTTGTAATGTATCACAGTACATTCGTTTTTAATCCCTGTATTGTATCATGGGCTTTTGACCGGGATGCAATATTGAGTCGTTACACCACTGTTGCCTAGTGGTTAAGCATTCTCTCATCACGTCGAAGGCTTGGGTTGATTCCCCACATGGGTTCATTTAGTGAAGCCCATTTCTGGTGTCCCTAGCCATGATATTGCTGGAATATTGCTAAAAGCGGCGTTAATCCACTCACTCACTCCATCACATGAACAAGTTCAAGGTTTTACTGTTGTAACCATGGTAATGCATTCTTGTGTCTGTTCCAGGCATCAGCCATGCACAAGATAACCCAAGGTTTGACGTCCCTGGACCCGATTACGTCAAAGAAGGAGAGGAGATTAACTTGTCCTGCACGACAGATGCAGACGTGCAGTTCATGGCATCAAAACAGCTGGCTATTGTCCACAAGAACCTGGTAACCGAAACCGAGACGATCATTTCAGAGCAACAACGTCTTCTTGTTACCCCAGCAGATAATTATGTGATCAAGCTTGAAATGATACCCATTGTTCGTGTCACCCTCAAAATAAAGTCAGGTAAGTACAGCGACTGTACAGAGTATTCATGGCAAGAACTTAAATTTACTCCATAAAGAATCTATAAGGTATTACTGATATTGCACAATATAAATACTACAGAATATGTATGCCAATGTGTTTGGAAAATACCTGTGAAATGCGTATTCAAAGTCATGGATATCTTCATCTTGTTGACAAACTTTACAAAAGTGACACGGCGAATTGTGATTATGAAATGCAGAATTTAGCAACTTATTCGTGCGACAACAAATTGAAACCATTTGTGAACAGGTTCCTGTCTTATATGTGTATTACGCGTACATTGTGACCATAGCAACAACCCAACATAACGGCAGCCACCGACAAAGTTGTGAGTGGGGAGGCAGTTGTGTAGGTTCTTATATGTTCAGGTTTGTAACAAATTGCAGATGGAAGAACTCATTCAGTATATTGTAATACGTATCGCAATCTACAAATCATTATTGCAATAAATTGCACTATGAAAGTCGGGCCAATACCCATCATAGTTATGAGCCAGTGTCCGTCTTGTAAGTCGGATATCATGACATCATACTGTTTGATTTGACATCACGTTTTTCAGACCCATACTGAGTACCAATACTTGAGTCTGGCATCTTCCCGAGGCAAGAGAGTAAACTGACTATAAAAGTCCAGTTTCCACCCTTGCCGAACTAGGCTGGTATTATGGAGTTACATTTTGTCTGGACTAACGAGTCTATGCATAGTCGAAATCAAAATCCGGTTCGTAAACTTTCGAGCAGGTTTTGATCGATTGCAGGATTTGCAAAGCATGTGCACCGCCAACTCGTCAGCAGATATTTTCCAAATCTTTTCATGTTTTTAATCAAGGTGCTCACGTGATTTGATGCATTTCGCCATGTAAGACCCGTTTTATCACAATATAGATCTTGATTATCGAGCAGATCATCCTGACTGAGCGCCACCATTTTGTGTGAAGCAAACGTAAGTGATACGAGAGGTGGAATCTGATTGGTCCATAGGAGAGGCTTAGAAGGGACATAATTGGTAATAGCCACTGGTGGCGCAACGATCGAGCCCAGTATTTCCAGCCTAGTTCGGCATGGATGGAAACTGGACTTTTAAAGTCAGTTAACTCCCTTGCCTCGGGAAGATGGAGTCTGGTGACTGTTACCATGGTCACAAGATAGATCAAATTGTAGAAAATAATTGTTTTTACTTTTGACTTCACAATGAAAAATTTGTTACATTTGTCCCTGATTATGAGCTGAATGTTTATGTACACACTTTTATATTCAGTTTTGAGTACAAATATTTATAGATAATATCACACCCGTGAAGATCTGGGTTAGAATAGGTCTTCAGCAACCCATGCTTGCCGTAAGAGGCAACTAATGGGATTGGGTGGTTAGGCACGTTGATTTGGTTGATGCATGTCGCTATATCCCAATTGCGTAAATCAATACCCATGATATTGATCACTGGATTGTCTGGTCCAGATCGAACATTTATGGTGCACCATCATATAGCTGGAATAGTGCTAAGTGCGGAGTTAAACAACAAACAAACATCCCATGGTCGTAAATATTCAGCTCAGTGTATTCAGCTTGTGGTTAAAGTGTTCGATCTTCATGCCAAAGACCCAGGTTTCGGTTCCCCAGATGGGTACAATGTGTGAAACCAATTTCTGGTGTCTCCCACCATGATATTGCTAAAGGGGTAAGAACCATACTCTCTCACTTACTCATTCAGCTCAGTGGACCATTTTCCTGCTTACTATGAACATTGTTTTGAACCTTGTGTTTTTGCTTTATGTACATGTAAGAAAATCGGTAGGACGTCAGCTACCAAGGATATAATGAACCGTTCTTTGGCCTCTAGGCCAAAGCCCTAGTAAGCTCAGCTAATAATAGTCCATATATGAACATTAAATCTTCTGAAAATAAGAAGAAGAACCATGTTCGGGCGAGTAAAAAGTCACAAGTCTTTGTCAAAGTCTGTTTAATACCGGATTTTGAGATCTTGTAAAATTGTGTGATTGAATTGTTTCCAGCTACTGCTGCTGCTGACGGGGAATACACATGTCGCACACAGAAGACAGGGACCAGTGATGCTCTAGAGTCAACAACCAAGACGGTGGTTTTCCTCGGTGAGTGAGTCTGGGATAACATAAGGAGTTTTCAACCAAGCAACTTGATGTTTTAGTTGCGCAAAGCATGTTTTAGTTCAAGATAAAGAAACAATGTTATATTTCCAATGACTAGTAAAGCCCTTTAAGGACTTCCCTGTACCTGCTCAGAGGCCGATATTCTGCAGCAAAAGTTTCCTAAATTTCCTAATTTGTGTAGGGGGCACGGGTGGCCAAGTTGTCTAAGGCACCGCGATTCGCTGTGCAGAGTTGCGTCCCTTGGGCACGCCAGAAACATATGATTTTTGGGTTCCAATCCCGGTTCGCACTAATTATGTTTCTAGGTTTGTCAGCACCATACTCGTGCTCGTGGGTTTCACCAAAGTGGTTAACGTCTGAAACCTGCATCACTTCGGGCATTCCTCCCACATTAAGCTGACACACCGTGATATAACTGGAATAATCTTAAAAGCGGCGTTAAACCCAACTCACCCACCCACCTAATTTGTGTTGATAAAGTTATGACCATGGCGATGTGATGGCTTGATTGAGGTGACTTGTATTGTACTGATCAGAGGACCAATAAGGATAATAATTCATTCATGCTTAATCTGAAATTAAGTATATAACAACTTTAGAAAAATAATAATTTGTAACAGTAACAATTATATCCCAATTTGCCTGCCAAGGGCTCTTAGTTTGGAAGCCAAGATCATGTGGATAAATACCTGTTTGTATTAACATACTATTAACATACTAGCATGGATTTATCTACATGATCGATGTAGGAAATGTTACTTTTATTGTGTTTATGTCACTAAAGAATATATTCTTAAACCATGTGACTTTTGTAATTTGAGAAAAACAACTCTTTTTTGGCATAGTCCCTGTAGTGTCAACTGCATAAAATTGGTCCTTTGTGGCATGATGTCAAGTGAAGGAAGTATGCATTAAGCAGATTCTACGGGATAAGTTTGCCCCACAGGACCAAGAATCTGTTCCTCTACTGACTGATCAGGTTTCTGTAGAGTCTGGATTTGACAAATTCCTGAATATGCGACTAGGTTATTTAGGCATGGTCTGGGATTTATCTGGACCTTCTCAGAGGCTGAAATTCGGGCCAAATTTGCTGCAATTTTCAGTAAAAATACCAAAATTGGAATTAATATTTTCCCTATCCATTTTAATCAAATTGATATAGTCATAGGTAATATTATGGCTTGGAAGACGTGCCCTGTATTTCCCTGTCAACAGGACCAATAGAAAGGAGAGGCATTTTTGTATTTGATAAAATATAGTATTACCTGTGAAATTAAGAAGAGAAGGACTTTAAAACAATCCCAATATTGGGCAAAGTAATTATATTTTCCCAATTTGGTTTCCAAGGGCACTTAATATTGAGTCCAAGATAAATCCCTGGGCCCCTTTCCACAAAGCGATCTTGGTGCTAAGTTAATCGTAACTCCCCCACTTTAACGAAGGCTTACAATCACCACAGCGCTAAGATCACTTTGTGGGACAGGGCCCTGCATGTTTGTGTTTCATGTCCAGCAATGACATGTCAGCTCATGTATCTGTGCTTGTCTCCTCAGCTCCCGTGAGTGGCATCAAGCTGACAGTTGATGGGGAGGAAAAAGCTGATGGAGTAACCGTATCATCGAAGTCTAAAAAACTGTCGGTGACATGCGAGGCAATGGGTTCCAACCCAGCACCAGTCATTTATATAATGGCAGGTGACCAGCATATTAACACGGGCGATGTCACAGCTATCTTGGACAAGGACGGAAACACAGAAAGACGGTCATACAAGGCTATGGTCAGCTTTGAGCTGGACTTTGATCACAGACTGTTCAATAAGGTACTCAAGTGCCATGCTGAACCGGACCTTCCGGAGGGCGTGACCATGGAAAGCGGAGACCAGACGGTCAGCGTCACCCTTGAAGGGATTGTAGGTGAGTGAGTCATGCATGTGTGATACCTGTCAGCTGGAGAAACCAAGTAGAATTGGTCACAGCAACAAGGACTTGGGTATGCCTTTTACCGCTCCTTGATAATTTTAACTTCGCTAAACTATGTTAATAACGAACACGCTTATAACAAACTGACGGATATAACAATCTTATTTTTTTGTCCCGACCATTTGCTATACATATGCAGTATATGCCTTTACCTTATAACAGACTACGATTATAATGAACTAAATTAGTGGTCCCTTGTACATGTTGTAGTTTGTTATAACCGTAGGTTACTGCAGTGCTTATGTTTTTAACGTATAAAAAAACATATCATTAATGCCAGTCTTCAAAGCATTTGTTCATACAATATGTCATTTTTTAAAAAGACATCGTCTTGTCAATCATCCACATGCATCATTATCATCACCAAGAACATCAACATGTCTGTTTTTGACCAATGTAAAGGCAGCATGGAGCTGGTGAAGCAGAGCTACTGATAAGCTGCGTATTTGTGTAAAATACCCTACAAAACTATTCAAAACCCGATTACTTTCAATTAACTTGTGTACAGAAACGCATGCATTCTATGAAAAACTCAAATGTATAAACACAGCATGCGGAAATTCACAATTAAGCTTTTTTAGCATGCGTACAACAGAGCTAATTTCTGTAATTGTCTGAAACACAATGTTGAGCTAATTTAATTTACGAGTCAAGCCTATATTTAGAACAGCTATATGCATCTAAAACATTATTTCATTATCTTATAATCATTTTGGGGAGAACCCAACAGAGTGATGAATAGATGAATGTAAAAATATTGGTTACCCAATGAAAAATGTAATAATTAAAATAGAAACCTTCGAGTAAAAGCTCAATTGTAACAAATGTTATATTTGGGATAACACTTTCTTAGTAAAGTACAGATTCTAGTACTTTTTTGGGTTGAGTCCCGTCCGGGATTCGAACCCACACTTGCCAGAGTGAGGCTGTACTTTACTCAGAAAGTGTTATCCCAAATATAACATTTGTTACATTTGACCACTTTCTAAATGGCATTGTGTATTCAAAAGCTCAATTGCTCAAAAAGTTATCTGGAGCTTTGGAAATGCTCTTTGTCTCCATCTGCCTCATTTCCTGGACACCTGGAGACAGCTTGAGCTTTATCATTATCATCATCAGCTACTAAAAAACAGATCTCCTTGGAATTCTTTGACAACCTCATCCACTAGGCTAAACCCCCTTTCATGTTTGATTGAAGTTGTAAGTCAAAGGGAGATAACTAGCATTATGACGGGTAAGGTGATGCTTGATTTGTATGTAGGATCATCTCCCAGTGGACAAGCATTAAAAAATCAGCATTTGTCCGAACAAGTACAAGCAGCCCCACACTAACATGCACATCACTATCTAAGTGCAATAACCTTGAACACAACATTAAACCCCATTTCACCTCACCCAACGTCTGTTCCTCATGAATACGAGGTCACGGGTGGCCCAGTCGTCTAAGACGCCCTATTCGGTGTGCATAGTTGCATCCCTTGGGCATGCCAGAAACATATGATTGTGGGTTTGAATCCTGATCGCCCTGATTATGTTTCTAGGTTTGTCAGCACCATACCCATACTCGTGGGTTTCACCGAAGTGGTAAACGTCTGAGACCTGCATCACTGGTCCAGACTTGATTTGTTTTTTAATAGATTGCCATTATATAGTTTGAATATTGCTGAGAAACAACAAAAACACAAACAAAAAGAAGACATCTAGAAAGTCAACTATCAACTGACGTAAATCTATAGGTGATGTATTTTCCATGTTGCAGACAAACCAATGGTTGCATGCAGCAACAAGACTGCCAGTGCCAATGACCGCCGAGTGATCCTCACTTGCTTTGTGTCCAAGATCCCTGCAGTGAAGTCAGTCATGTTTAATGTTGGCAACCGACATCTGCTGTATCCTGGCAACCAGACAAAATCTCTCACAGAAGTCGTACAAAAGGTATGTATTTGTTTCAGGTCAGATTAGGGAGAAGAAAGAGACTCTTGCATCCATATGTGATGTTGTGTAGGAACCAATGAGGAATCTGGGTTAAAGTTTGTCCCTGTAGCAGCATGTGCTGGTTGCAAGGGGCAACGGAATGGATCTGTTGTTCAGGCTTGACGTGGTGGGTAGCGGGTCAACATACTCCGAAAGCGTGGATCGTTGTTCATAATATCGGTCTGCATCGTTCATTATATGGATTATCTGGTCCCCACTAAAATATTTTCAGACCACTGTCGTATCGCTGTACCATTGTTGACTACAGCAAACAACAAGCCCGAAATCATTTAAAATGTTGTTGTTCCATCTGTCTCCCGAGCAAACACCCTGCCTCAAATCATTTTGTTGCTTTTTTCTGAACTATATACGAGGGATGCATAAAATCCCATGTACCCTGAGTGATCCTGCTACAACGAAGTTATCTTACTGACATGTTTTAATTTGACATTGTAAAAGAATCAACACAAATTCAAAATTGATAGAAAACAGCTGTTTAATTGAGCTGGTGTTAACTTGTGCTATGTAACGTGACTTCCATTGAAGTTGGATGTAAGGGATTTATTCTGTGTCTCAGAAGTTCTTGTGCAGTCTGTATTGCTCATGGAGGGGTATAAGAGATTTCTTTCCCCTATCAGACAATTATTACCCACTAAGGCGGGTTACACAGTATTTTATCAAGATCACATTGACCAATCAGATCTCATCATTCTGACATGGAGGTATGATAATAGTTCATGAACACTGATGCCTTTTCACAAACCGTAAAACTACAAAATAAAATGCCTCTTAACTGAACATGCCCATTTGATGGAAAGAACTAATTTATTGAGGCCTAAGATGGGATGTGTTTCTTCACCTGTGGGTTTTAATTTTTCCAGGATTTTAATGCCACTCACAATGAAGTGATACTGAAGTTCTTCGAGATGGAGGAGTGGCACTTCACAGCCAACATCTACCTGGATGTGAAAGGATTAGATGATCAAGTGTTCCAGTATCCAGTGTATTTGATAAGAGGTAGGTTTCCATGGTTACTTGTAGATACTGGTGATGCTTCTGGGGCAGACTAGCTGAGTTCAGCCATGCTGTATATCCTGCACTAAACACCTCGGTGTCAAGGCCGAGCATGATCTTGTATTAATGCTATCAAGGATACATGCCGACTAAACAGGAATATTGATCTTAATAGAGGCTAGACATAGATTGATATTGTCATACTTGACTTTTGTGTGTTTTGATTCAGCTGATAGAATAAAAATGATAAATGTACAGTATTGCAATTAAGCCTTTTTTAAGTATCTGTTTTTTGTTCACCAAAAAAACACGTCTAATGAAATTGTTGATGAAATAATTGTACGGTATTATAATTAAGCCTTTTTAAAGTATCTGTGTTGTTTGTTCACAAAAAAACACATCTATTGAAATAGTGATGAAATAATATTTGTACGGTATTACAATTAAGCCTTTAAGTATCTGTGTTTGTTCAATTACGGCCATATCATTTAAAGTCAGTTATACTCTGCATACTATTACAATGCTTTTGCATTAGTGGTGGGAACATGGCAATTATATTGGACTTTTAGCTTATTCAGTTTGCAATAGTTACACTACAACAATCACTTGGTGACACATTGACTGAAAGCCCAGGGTGACACATTAACTGCAAGCCCTGGGTGACACACTGACTACAAGCCCTGGGTGACACATTGACTGCAAGCCCTGGGTGACGCATTGCCTGCAAGCCCAGGTCGACGCATTGACTGCAAGCCCTGGTCGAAGCATTTCCTGCCAGCCCTGGTCGAAGCATTTCCTTCAAGCCCTGGGTGAAGCATTACCTGCAAGCCCTGGGTGACACATTGACTGCAAGCCCTGGGTGACACATTTCCTGCAAGCTCTTGGTGACACATTGACTGCAAGCCCTTGGTGACACATTGACTGCAAGCCCTGGGTGACACATTGACTGCAAGCCCTGGGTGACACATTGACTACAATCCCTGGGTGACACATTGACTGCATGCCCTTGGTGACACATTGACTACAAGCCCTGGGTGACACATTGACTGCAAGCCCTGGGTGACACATTTCCTGCAAGCCCTGGGTGACACATTGACTGCAAGCCCTGGGTGACACATTGACTGCAAGCCCTGGGTGACACATTGACTGCAAGCCCTGGTTGAAGCATTTCCTGCAAGCCCTGGTCGAAGCATTTCCTGCCAGCCCTGGTCAAAGCATTTCCTGCAAGCCCAGGGTGACGCAATTACTGCAAGCCCTGGGTGACACATTGACTGCAAGCCCAGGGTGACACATTAACTGCAAGCCCTGGGTGACACATTGACTACAAGCCCTGGGTGACACATTGACTGCAAGCCCTGGGTGACGCATAGACTGCAAGCCCAGGTCGAAGCATTCACTGCAAGCCCTGATCGAAACATTTCCTGCAAGCCCTGGTCGAAGCATTTCCTGCAAGCCCTGGGTGAAGCATTTCCTGCAAGCCCAGGGTGACACATTAACTGCAAGCCCTGGGTGACACATTGACTACAATCCCTGGGTGAAGCATTTCCTGCAAGCCCTGTGTGACACATTGACTGCAAGCCCTGGGTGACACATTTCCTGCAAGCTCTTGGTGACACATTGACTGCAAGCCCTTGGTGACACATTGACTGCAAACCCTGGGTGACACATTGACTGCAAGCCCTGGGTGACACATTGACTACAAGCCAATTAGTGCCCTATTCCATACTTATCATGCTTATATATTCAGTGTGGTGTCTCGGTAGTGGGTAGCCTTGAGGTGTTGAAGGTCTGGGTTTAATTCTCCACATGGGTACAATGTGTGAAGCCCATTTCTGTTGTTCCCTGCAGTGATATTGCTGGAATATTGCTAAAAGAGGCATAAAACCATGCTTACTTACTGGATGGTGGGGTAGCCTCGTGGTCATCACATGAAAGGACTCAGGTCAATTCACATGTTGGTGATGCCAAGCCCATTTCCCCCCCCCCCCCCCCCTGCCATGGAATATTCTTAAAAGCCTCAAAGAAATAGTAACTGACTCATTAACAGGTCTAACTCATTCATTTAGAAACCAAATTCTGCATTTTGAGTTCGATGTGTGATGCAGCAGCATCGCAACACTTAATCATCAGTAAGATCATTCAAACAGACTCAGACTTTTGTCCATTTAAACTAATGCTTGCCGTAAAAGGCGACTAACAGGATCGGGTGGTCAGGCTCGCTGACTTGGTTGATACATGTCATCGGTCCCAATTCCATGGATCGATGCTCATGATCGGGTGGTCAGGCTCGCTGACTTGTTTGATACATGTCAACGGGCCCAATTCCATGGAGTGACACGATTATTTACAGACAGCCGTCATATAGCTGGAATATTGCTGAGTGTGGCGTTAAACAACAAACCAACCAACCGACCATTTAAACTAGGCTTAAACTCTGTAAATTGACAAGCTTATTAACTTAAAGACTTTAAAAATTACTTCACTCGTATGAATGAAGCTTGCATCTAAGATTGTATCGGTAGCTTCTTGTGGAATTGTGTTCATTCCTAGGGTGAAACTATTGCTTTGATTATCGGCAAATTACATCAGGAGACAGGTGGAAAAATATGAATTTGCAGGATCTCGTACTGAAGACAGCTTGACTTCTGATGTCTGCTGTCTGTTGTGGTTCAGTGAGCGGGGGCCACCTCCCACTCACAGTTGTAGGTGTGTAGTCACATGGCTGTGACACAGCAGCAATAGTGCTGACTAACACACACAACATACACTCACCAAGGATTTATCTATGACTCCTAACTAAGTGCCCATGGCACGCAAAATTGGAAAAACATCAGGTATTTGGAAATTTGAAAATTAAATTGGGTATTTTTACTGTCATTTGCGGCAGACTCAGGGCCAAAAGCCTCCCTCTGAGCAGGTCTAGATGAATCCCTGGGTGCCCTGGTTGTACGAAACAGCTTCGGGGTACGACTGTCGTAGGTCGATGTTATAGTATGGGAGTTACAATCACCTTAGCACTAAGATAGCTTTGTACAACAGCACCCTGGTAACAGCCTAAGAATAATAAATTCTCACTCATCTACTTGCCCAAAGACAAGTAAAAATGATGAAAAGTAGTGACTGACGACACGGTCATATCTTCCTGTTGAGTCAGCTGACAGTTTTCACTTCTATTCATTTGAGTGTGTTGATGAGGGAAGGGAGGTAACTAGGGTAGCATTGTTAAGGAAGCGTGGACAAATGTTTCTTTTAGGGGGCATTTCTACTGCCAGAGATAACTAAAATATTTTTAAGTTTAGTTCACTTCCAATTCGGAGTAGAGTAGGTCTTCAGCAACCCATGCTTGCCTTCAAAGGTGACTATGCTTGTCGTTAGAGGCGTGGTCAGACTCACTGACTTGGTTGATGCATGTTACCGTATAATAGTATCCCAAATGCGTGATCGATGCTCATGATGTAAATCACTGGATTGTCTGGTCCAGACTTGATTATTTACAAACTGCCGTCATATGGCTGGAATATTGCTGAGTGTGACGTTACACAACAAACAAACAAACAAACAAAATCACTTCCAAATCACTCCTCAACGTGGCCAAATCAGATAACGAAAAAGGAGATGAATTCTTTACATTTCTTCATAACAACAAATTTTCGAATGAATGTTGGCTTAGCTGAAAGTTATTACTGTGGGAACTTTATAGGGGTATAAAAAAATCCATCATAATGTGCTATTGTGATAGCTGGCAGTTCTCTATCAGAATGGGGCGGTGTAGTTAAGTAGTTAAAGCGTTCACTCTCACACTGAAATCCAGGTGTTTGATTCCCACATGGGTATAATGTTTGAAGCCCATTGGTGTGTCAAGCAATGATATTGCTTGAATATTGCTTAAACAGGTTAAACTGTTTTCATTTTTTACCTGGGCCCCCACAATTAAAGTCTTGGAGTCCTCTGGACCACCATGGTAAACAACCCAGGTAAATCCCAGCTGTAGATGTAGATTTGTGAAAGTCGAACAATGGACCATGTTCACAATGATTCGCATTGTTACGCAGTGCTTTTTTTCATTAGTGGATATTCTTCCTGTTTGCAGATGAATCACAACCCTGAATCATTTGTTCTTAAATTTCAATCGCCTCGATTATGTTTCTAGGTTTGTCAGCACCATACCCGTGGTCGCGGGTTTCACCGAAGTGGTAAACATCCGATACCTGCATCACTTTGGGCTTTCCCCCCACATTAAGCTGACACGACATGATATAACTGGAATACTGTTAAACGCAACCCTCTCACTCACCATGCTCACTCACTCTTAAATTTCAGAGATTGAAGATAGGATATTGTAATCCCGAAACATATAGGCACAGTGAATGTTATGCTATTTATTGCCAGCTGGTAAATACCAGAGAATCTGCACACACTGGTGTTTAACAGTTTCTGTTATTAGCCATGTATTTTACACCAATATAATTTATAATGTATCACAGTACATTTGTTTTTAATCCCTTTATTGTATCATGGGCTTTTGACCGGGATGCAATATTGAGTCGTTACACCACTGTTGCCTAGTGGTTAAGCATTCTCTCATCACGTCGAAGGCTTGGGTTGATTCCCCACATGGGTACTTTTAGTGAAGCCCATTTCTGGTGTCCCTAGCCATGATATTGCTGGAATATTGCTAAAAGCGGCGTTAATCAAATCACTCACTCCATCACATGAACAAGTTCAAGCTTTTACTGTTGTAACCATGGTAATGCATTCTTGTGTCTGTTCCAGGCATCAGCCATGTACAAGATAACCCAAGGTTTGACGTCACTGGACCCGATTACGTCAAAGAAGGAGATGAGATTAACTTGTCCTGCACGACAGATGCAGACGTGCAGTTCATGGCATCAAAACAGCTGGCTATTGTCCACAAGAACCTGGTAACCGAAACCGAGACGATCATTTCAGAGCAACAACGTCTTCTTGTTTCCCCAGCAGATAATTATGTGATCAAGTTTGAAATGATACCTATTGTTCGTGTCATCCTCAAAATAAAGTCAGGTAAGTACAGCGGCTGTACAGTGTAATCAGGGCAAGAACTTAACTTTACTCCATAAAGAATCTATAAGGTATTACTGATATTGCACAATATAAATACTACAGAATATGTATGCCAATGTGTTTGGAAAATACCTGTAAATTGCGTATTCAAAGTCGTGGATATCTTCATCTTGTTGACAAACTTTACAAAAGTGACACGGCGAATTGTGATTATGAAATGCAGAAATTAGCATCTTATTCGTGCGACAACAAATTGAAACCATTTGTGAACAGGTTCCTGTCTAATATGTGTATTACGCGTACATTGTGACCATAGCAACATCCCAACATAACGGCAGCCACCAACAAAGTTGTGAAAAATTGTGAGTGGGGAGGCAGTTGTGTAGATTCTTATATATTCAGGTTTGTAACAAATTGCAGATGAAAGTACAGGAAGAACTTATTCAGTATATTGTAATACGTATCGCAATCTACAAATCATTATTGCAATAATTACATTAAGTAATACGTTACCACTGTTATACCGAGGCTGTTGTCTCCCACAACTGCTGCTATAGCGAAATCTACCACAGAGATCTCAATTACCTCATGCAGCACGTGCGTAGCCACCTAGCTGCCATGTGACACCCTTCACTCTTGTCTCCTTCGTCTGCGTAGCAAGACGTGTATACCTACTGCTGAAGCGTTCCTTGAATATTTGGTGATATTTATTATAGTTTATTCTCTAATAAACTGTGCTTTTATGGGGCGTTGCGGTAGCTACGCTTGGTTATAATTTTCCCGCCAAACGGAAAAATTTTCTCGCCCTTTTTTCTGTATACTTGCGTGGTTCGCGTATGCACGTTGTGTTTTACGTTTCCCCTGTTCTTGTATGTTTTGGGGGTTAAAATCACTTATTTCTTTAATAAAAGTTATATGTGTATGTTATATGTTCACATTGCTCGTTTATTTTCTTGTGAAAATGCTCGTTTGTGAATCATTGTGGTGCGTGCGTTCTAACCATGTTTTGTTCTTTGTTTATAGAATACAAACAATGTCTGACATGGAATTGTCCCCAGTCTCCACCCCCTCAACCCCTGCTCCTCGGAGTTGCGGGGTGTGCCGAAAATTTTTGTCGTCCCGGGATCCCCACGATCGTTGCCCACGGTGCAGGGTTCCTTGCGGGGACACCCAGTGCACCCTGTGCGAAGGTCTAGGGCCTGCGGAGTTTGAGCGTTACCGACTGTACGTCCAGTCCGTCTCCACCCCTGTGGTCGCCGGTTCGTCCGGTCGGGGTCCCCGTGCGAGTACCACCTCCTTGGCTGCGGCGGATCCCTTTGCGGCCCTCGGGCTGTCTGGGGATTCCGTCGCCGTATTGTTGTCGAAACTTGTGGACTCCAAGCTGGCAGCCTTATCCCAAGATAGGCCGACGGCTGTTCCGTCCCCGGGCTCTTCGGTGCCCGCGGGTTCGGACGCGGGGTCCACCGGTACAGCGGCGGCTGCCGTTGTTACCGGTCCTTCCCCCGAACCGTTGCTTCCGCTATCGGTTAAGGACCGCGTGGCCATGGTTTATGATCTCTTCGAGGACATGCCAAAGCCCCTGCCGATACCGCGGGGAATCCAAGGTTCCGTGGGTTCCTCCGAGGTGTACGACGAGACGTCCGACATGGCTTTACCGGCATCAACCTTGCTGCGCGGGATTAAGCCTTCTTTGGATAAGGCCTTCGCGGCTGCGGAGATGAAATACCTATCCAGTGGGGCCGTTTGGAGTCACCAATCGTTTTGGCAATGACGATTGAGCCTTACGGTATGCGCTTGACAGTGCTTTGGTATTCCTATTGACCTTTTTCACACTTTCGCCATCTTGGATCGAAAACGAGGCTTGGAGAGCATAGCTCCATGCAGTGAGAGTCGCATCAGCCCATAGGGAATAGACAGCATGTTGTGCATTTCACTGATGGACATTTCAAACAAACAAAAAATGGTATCCTCTGTATATAATACAGAAGATATTTCACATTAAATCATGAGGTCCAACTAAAATATGCCTGTTATACACTGGAATTAGCATTTTGCTGTCAGGATCCCGGAAGTGAATCGAAAGGTGCATTTCGAGATACATATTTCAGAAATAGATTGTTTTATCATAACCTCGTCGGAATATAGGTACAATGTGACAGTACATTCAATGACAGAAGTTTTCTATGGTAAATAAACCGCATAACATGAAACACGTCAGTGTACTTTTGCAAAATTGCTCAGTCAATGCGTGGCTTGGCGAACTCTAGATCAAGATTGAGATCATGTTTATTTCACGTTTCATAGTGGTGTTTGCTGCACAACGCACTATCGTTTTGCCATGAGTCCAGTTGACAAAAGACACTTTTTCTGCTATGATTTTCATTTTAACATATTACAATGTTAATTATGAAAATAGTTTGTGTGTCAAAATAAATATTCAGAAGGGGCAATAACCCTATTCAGTGTGTACAATGACAGATGATACTTTACTTGTTCTTCAAACATCACTTACTTAACTGATTATTGCCGATTGAGATTGCACCGTGCACTACAAAAGTAATAATGTGTGAACTGTTTAAAATAAGTTAAAAGGAAACTAAAAATTGATAAATATAAATAATGCATGAAATTGAAGAAATATAAGAATTGATACAACTACCAACTTCTTGAACACCCTCACCTAATCCTGTATGATGAAAGGTAATTTTATATCAAAAGGAAGCTACTAATACATTTATCCTGAATAGTTTGAAAATGTCTTGATCAGATATGAGTACAGATAAAATAACAAAAGATAAAAAGGAATCCACTTCAATTGGTAATCAAACCAAGATAAAATATATGTATCGGTACAAATTATGTTGATGGAACAATCTGGATTTCTCATATTTGACAAAGAAAAACAAACCAAAATTTTCATATCTTTATTTCTCACAATATAAGTTTTCAAAACTCAACATGGACTGGGTGTCTTTGTCAGTCAAAAGCACCTAATTAAATTCCAGGAGAAAATAAATTTCTTGCTTGTAAACAAATGGTACAATGTGCTTTTTCAGTGTCAGATAAATATTGGCCATGCTGATTTGTGAGTGAATAAGGCTTTTCAGTTCCTCGTCCTATTTAAGAGAAATGTGACAGGAACCACATTTGTTGATTGAATGAATATGGCTTTTCACTTCCTCGTCCTTTGACAGGACGCACATTGTAACCATTGTGTTACTGTCAGCAGAAAGCTCCTCCAGACATCCATCACCGGATACTAGTACTTCATTGTGTTGACTAGCTGGCCTGAAATGAATAATTCTATTATATTGTAATAATATTCCTACTTCAATAACATTTTTTATAAACAATGCATATTCACCTTCTCTCAAAATATTGCTTATTTAGAAAACAACATTCATCTGAAATAGAGAAGTTTAAGGAAAATTAATCACAGTGTGTAACATTACATGCTACATGTACTTTAGAACAATCTTGAAGGCATCAATTCATCTGATATGTCGAAAACTCAAACAGTATATTCTGTGTAAAGGGTAAACTCAACAGATGCATCAATTTAATGACAGTGTACTACAGCTCTTTATATCAATGTCACACAGAAATTCACTCTCGTTTTAATGGAACACGTTTTGATATTTGTATTACCGGTATGTATTTAATCATGACCATGCTGAAAACATACTTTCGCTAGAGTGAAAAAAATAAGATTTGTATTAAAATCAGGTGAAATATCACGTTTTGTCACACCTACAATCAGTCTGCCTCATTGACACTATGGTTTTCTGAGTAAGGTCATGAAGATCACAAAGAAAATATAAGACTTGAATTTATTTTGTCAAATGCAATATTTATATCTTCATGTGGTTTACTAAAGTTGATATTCTGACTTGAAAATATTAACTTTGTCAGATCACAAGATGAAATATTATTAAACATATTTTATTGTCCAAAAAGACAAAGGGCAGCACTTATTACCGCCTTCTCCCTATATACAGTTAAACATAATATTGCATAATGAAAATGAACAGTTTACAGTTGAAGCTTCACATTATGGAAACATAGTGCGCAATATATATATACAGTGCTCATATGAAGGATATGTACAATGTGCTGGAAAGTGAAGACAGTGTGTATCTCATACATATTCTAATATTATACATTTTAGTGTTGAATATAGATTTAACAATATTAATGATTAACAGTTTGGAAACAATAATATGCTAGCTACTGAATCTGTTAGTCGTTTCTATAAATTTGTGTACAGACAAGAATATTTTTGTATTCAGGAAAACATCTAAGTTTGAATCACCAAAAAGAAAACTATGTAGAGTATTTTGTCCTCCAAGATTATCGATAGCTGTCAGTAATGTCTGCCTAAAATCATCATATAAGGTACATTCGAAGAAGAAATGGAATGAATTTTTACAAGGAGCATGCTATACAAGGAGCATGAGATAAATTCATGCTATCATCGTTATTTGACAAGAAAAACAAATTTCTTCTATGTATTTATATTTTTTTATTTTTCACGTTTTGATTGAATTATAAAAAAATATCAAAATGATCACACCACTTGACGTGATTGAAATAAACTAAAGTTCTAAAGATTGTTAACAATAGTAAAATATTACATCATAACAATATAATTATTGCAAAATGACACAGTAAGCACAACTATATTCTTATATATAAATTGATATGATTAATAATCAATAATACATGGCAATTGCTTGCACCCAAAAATATCCTTTTGTTTTAAAAGTTTCAAAACATGTTTGTGGACATAAAACCAGATGGGTTTCACAATTAAACAAAGGGAATAAATGAGTTATGATTGCAATACGCATTGGAATTAAAAATAATTCTTTTTATACTTTAAGTTTTTAGTAATGTCAATATCAATTTATGCATTTGAAATATTTGAATACAAACTGTTAAAGAGTTATCTGTTTCTGTAAATTATATAAAGATCACATGTAGATTGAACATTTACTGGACATTATATTAGTTGGGTTTTTGTTCATTTCATGACATGATTAAATTGGTACAGTAAAGTAAATATCATTTTGGTAGAAATATTAATTGTTACCAAAATTGCAGATCAAACTGTACTTTACTTTAAATATTTACACACCCTTTATGTAATAATTCAGTTGAAATATTACACCTCATGCTATCTAATCTGTCAACATTGACAATCAAAATAACAACTGTTTACAATCCCAACAGCACAAGTAGATCTAGAGGTCTAATATTTTATTGGAATGCATTTGAGTCCATTACAATTTACATCAAATACACAACTGATGCAAACTTCTGATTTGTTACGATTTTAAATTCTCAGTAGGTTACAATTTGATACATTATATCAACATATCAATTTAGTTAGTTTCTGACATATATCTAGATATGGTCAAAAGGTCAATATTTCGACTTCAAATACAACCCGCAAAGTTATTTAAACTCACAATAAATAGTTTGGCTTAATGGTGTGTAAACAATGAAATTTTTTTTTTACAAGATTTCAGTAGAATTTGTATTAAGTCTGTTCAGCTACCATAAACTGCAGTGGGAGTTACCAGGTGGTCATGGATATTTTAAATTGAAATCACAACAGAACGGCCAGACTCAAATTTATATCGGTAAGGAGACCAGATAACAGTAGAATAGTTTGTCAATAAGAATAATGTTCAATACTTACGATAAATGTACCGGGATGGTTAAATTGTCACAGTTTGTCCCGATTGCATGCCTTGTTGACATCTCCATGTGTTTCATGTGCTATCCAGCCTTCACCTTCTGCTCTCCAAGCCTCGCTTTCAAACCGGAAGTAGCGAAGTGTGAAAAAGGTCAATATAGGGTAACGCCTATTGAAAAGCGGAACAAGTGCAGCGACACCAAGCGGAGGATCCGGGAACCAGTCTAGGTAACGCCTAGCTAGGTGCATGCGCATCGAGTGCTTCCGCCTTGGTGTTTACTTCCGCTGGTCGGAAGGAACGCTAGCAGTCAGGATTCGGCTTGTAGGTGCTCCCCACCGCCTTCTGTGGTAGTCAGCCTCGGTATAACAGTGGTAACGTATTACTTAATGTAATTTGTAGAATTTTCCTTTTCGGAATATTCTATAAGTAATACGTTACCACTGGGCTGCTGACCGCCCGTCCGTCCCCCGAGCACTTGCTCTCGCCAGAGACAAGAGTGAAGGGTGTCACATGGCAGCTAGGTGGCTACGCACGTGCTGCATGAGGTAATTGAGATCTCTGTGGTAGATTTCGCTATAGCAGCAGTTGTGGGAGACAACAGCCTCGGTATAACAGTGGTAACGTATTACTTATAGAATATTCCGAATAGGAAAATTCTACAAAATTGCACTATGAAAGTCGGGCCAATACCCATCATAGTTATGAGCCAGTGTCCGTCTTGTAAGTCGGATATCATGACATCATACTGTTTGATTTGACATCACGTTTTTCAGACCCATACTGAGTACCAATACTTGAGTCTGGCATCTTCCCGAGGCAAGAGAGTAAACTGACTATAAAAGTCCAGTTTCCACCCTTGCCGAACTAGGCTGGTATTATGGAGTTACATTTTCTCTAGACTAACGAGTCTATGCATAGTCCAATCAAAATGGCGCACCGAAATCAAAATCCGGTTCGTAAACGGTCGTGCAGGTTTCGATCGATTGCAGGATTTGCAAAGCATGTGCACCGCAAACTCGTGATTTGATGCATTTCGCGATGTAAGACCTGTTTTATCACAATATAGATCTTGATTATGGAGCAGATTGTCCTGCCTGAGCGCCACCATTTTGTGTGAAGCAAACGTAAGTGATACGAGAGGTGGAATCTGATTGGTCCATAGGAGAGGCTTAGAAGGGACATAATTGGTAATAGCCACTGGTGGCGCAACGATCGAGCCCAGTCATTCCAGCCTAGTTCGGCAAGGGTGGAAACTGGACTTTAAAAGTCAGTTAACTCCCTTGCTTCGAGAAGATGGAGTCTGGTGACTGTTACCATGGTCACAAGATAGATCAAATTGTAGAAAATAATTGTTTTTACTTTTGACTTCACAATGAAAAATTTGTTACATTTGTCCCTGATTATAAGCTGAATGTCGGTTTTGAGTACAAACATTTATAGATAATATCACACCCGTGAAGATCTGGGTTAGAATAGGTCTTCAACAACCCATGCTTGCCGTAAGAGGCAACTAATGGGATTGGGTGGTTAGGCACGTTGATTTGGTTGATGCATGTCGTTCTATCCCAATTGCGTAAATCAATACCCATGATATTGATCACTGGATTGTCTGGTCCAGATCGAACATTTATGGTGCACCATCATATAGCTGGAATAGTGCTAAGTGCGGAGTTAAACAACAAAGAAACATCCCATGGTCGTATATTCAGCTCAGTGTATTCAGCTTGTGGTTAAAGTGTTCGATCTTCATGCCAAAGACCCAGGTTTCGGTTTCCCAGATGGGTACAATGTGTGAAACCCATTTCTGGTGTCTCCCACCATGATATTGCTAAAGGGGTAAGAACCCTACTCTCTCACTTACTCATTCAGCTCAGTGGACCGTTTTCCTGCTTACTATGAACACTGTTTTGAACCTTGTGTTTTTGCTTTATGTAAGAAAATCGGTAGGAAGTCAGCTACCAAGGATATAGTCGACCGTTCTTTCGCCTCTAGTCCAAAGCCCTAGTAAGCTCAGCTAAAAATAGTCCATATATGAACATTAAATCTTCTGAAAATAAGAAGAAGAACCATGTTCGGGCCAGTAAAAAAGTCACAAGTCTTTGTCAAAGTCTGTTTAATACCGGATTTTGAGATCTTGTAAAATTGTGTGATTGAATTGTTTCCAGCTACTGCTGCTGCTGACGGGGAATACACATGTCGCACACAGAAGAGAGGGACCAGTGATGCTCTAGAGTCAGCAACCAAGACGGTGGTTTTCCTCGGTAAGTGAGTCTGGGATAGCATAAGGAGTTTTCAACCAAGCAACTTGATGTTTTAGTTGTGCAAAGCATGTTTTAGTTCAAGATAAAGAAACAAGCCCTGGTTGAAGCATTGACTACAAGCCCTAGTTGAAGCATTGACTAGAAGCCCTGGTTGAAGCATTTCCTGCAAGCCCTGGGTGACACATTGACTGCAAGCCCTGGTTGAAGCATTAACTGCAAACCCCTGGTGACACATTGACTTCAAGCCCTGGTCGACACATTTACTGCAAGCCCTGGGTGACACATTGACTGCAAGCCCTGGGTGACACATTGACTGCAAGCCCTTGGTGACACATTGACTAAAAGGCCTGGTTGAAGCATTTGCTGCAAGCCCTGGTTGAAGCATTGACTGCAAGCCCTGGGTGACACATTGACTGCAAGCCCTGGGTGACACATTGACTGCAAGCCCTGGGTGAGACACTGACTGCAAGCCCTGGTTGAAGCAATTGCTGCAAGCCCTTGGTGACACATTGACTGCAAGCCCTGGATGAAGCATTAACTGCAAGCCCTGGGTGACACATTGACTGCAAGCCCTGGGTGACACATTGACTGCAAGCGCTGGTCGACACATTTACTGCAAAACCCTGGTTGACACATTGACTGCAAGCCCTGGGTGACACATTGACTGCAAGCCCTTGGTGACACATTTACTGCAAGCCCTGGGTGACACATTGAATGCAAGCCCTGGTTGACACATTGACTGCAAGCCCTGGTTGAAGCATTGACTGCAAGCCCTGGTTGAAGCATTTGCTGCAAGCCCTGGGTGACACATTGACTGCAAGCCCTGGGTGACACATTTACTGCAAGCCCTGGGTGACACATTGACTGCAAGCCCTGGTTGACACATTGACTGCAAGCCCTTGGTGACACATTGACTGCAAGCCCTGGGTGACACATTTACTGCAAGCCCTGGTTGACACATTTACTGCAAGCCCTGGTTGAAGCATTGACTGCAAGCCCTGGTTGAAGCATTTGCTGCAAGCCCTGGTTAAAGCATTTACTGCAAGCCCTTGGTGACACATTGACTGCAACCCCTGGTTGAAGCATTTCCTGCAAGCCCTGGGTGACACATTGACTGCAAGCCCTCGTTGAAGCATTTGCTGCAAGCCCTGGTTGAAGCATTTGCTGCTAGCTCTGGGTGACACATTGACTGCAAGCCCTGGTTGAAGCATTGACTACAAGCCCTAGTTGAAGCAATTGCTGCAAGCCCTTGGTGACACATTGACTGCAAGCCCTGGATGAAGCATTAACTGGAAGCCCTGGGTGACACATTGACTGCAAGCCCTTGGTGACACATTGACTGCAAGCCCTGGTCGACACATTTACTGCAAGCCCTCGTTGACACATTGACTGCAAGCCCTGGGTGACACATTGACTGAGTAGTATAGGTAATGGGGGTTCTGGACCACTTCCACTGGAGCAGGATTAATATACCTATACTGCTACTACAGGGGGGATTTTTTATGTCAAAATGATTATGCGATTTAACGATAGTCATGAGTTGTATTAAACGAAACATCAATATTAATTAATAATGGATAAAATTTACTATAGCCCACGAGGATATTGGAAAGGTGTAGGAGCAATAAAAAAATTAGCCACCACGGCTAAGGTATCTAAAGATGTGGCAAAGGATTGGTTAAAGAAACAAGCGATGTGGCAGATATATTTACCGGCACCGCGTTATATACCGAGGAAGAAGTTTGATATTTTTACGACGAATGAAGTTCATCAGGCTGACCTCTTGTTTCTTCCCCACGATAAGGTAAAACGCAAAACGTACAAATACGCTTTAACCGCTAAAATGGCCTAAGCTATTTCAAGTAGATCCCGGTCGCGAGTTTATGGGATCGGTAACTAAACTGTTAACAAAGAACGATGTCAAAATCGTCCGTGGTGAAAGAGAGGCCCACCGCAGTCAAGCTATCGTCGAAAGATTTAACAGGACATTAGCGGAACGTTTGTTTGGCTATCAGTATGGGATCGAAATGAAATCGGAGCGATTGAGATCAACCGAATGGGTGACACGATTATCAGCCGTTGTATCAGCGCTGAATAATGAAGTAACGAGATTAATAGGGAAGAAACCATCCCATGCTATTAAAATGAAATCCGTGACTTCCGAATCTTCAGCACCGAGGAGAGGCAAAGAACGAAAACTTCCGGATAGAGTAAGGGTAAGATATTTATACCAGCTCGGTGAACTCGAAGGAGGCCTACGTCGCGCAACCGATCCCATATGGTCCCTTAAGACGTATAACATTAGTCGATTGGTTACGAAAGAAGGAGAGCCTATTCTTTATTATCTTCAAGATGGACCGGGTAGGGCATTTGTACGAGAAGAGTTGTTCATAGTTCCTGACGGTACGGTATTACCACCATAACCATAAGCATAGGTAGTTACACCATCATTATCAATCCATCTCTTTGTATCTAAGGGGGATAATGATGTCTTGTTCATTCTTAATCCATATATCCTATGATCGTAACTTCTTAAAGAGTTCATCTCGTGTTTGAACGTTCTACCGTTGAATAATGATTCTTTATACTGTTCGTGTTTGATATGCTTTTTTACAACATACTTCTTAACGCCCTTAGCTTTTCTAATCTCTCCATTATCGGACTTCTTTATAGAATACATCTTAGGTCTTAATCCTACATACTCCGCTATAGGGGTCCCAGCACATTCATCCTTCATCTTACCTAACACCTTTTTATTTACAACGCTGTGCAGTGGATTATCTTTAGGATAATCGCTAGTGTCGTACATATCTATTTTTTCTGCCATATCTTTATACACATCCTCGGTTTGTATTTCCATCAACAAAGAATCTGTGTCGGTATATAAAACCTCGCATCTATCACCGTATTGCTTCTTAAGTTCGTTGTAATAAAAGTCATACATTAAATGTTTTGACAAGTCGAGAATACTCATACCGACGTACACAGGTATGTTGAATTTTATATTACTCTTCTGCATATGCAACGCGGCTAAGTCGTTATCAAATATCTTGCTTCTGTTAAAAGCCGGGCTGGCTATAAGTTTCCTGAGTCTTTCTTCCTCATTAGATCTGACTAATTTAACATCAACACGCTTCCTTAGATTCTCCATAGTTTTACCAAATACTGAGTTATTCATGAGCTTATACAGATTCTTTTCGAAATCGCTGGTAGCTATCTTTCTTAAATCTGTGTTCAACCTTATATAGGGCTCCATCCAAGGGCTTTGATCAAACTTTAGAACTCTGTGTATTTTCTTAAGTTTCATACCTAACGATAGATACAACTGGAGATTTCTGTAGTGAACTATATATTTTGTCTTATCCGTCAAATTTGGTACGAGTTTTTCTACGTTAGCTAACCTACTATTACCCATCAAGGAGCGTTGATATTCCGACATCCAATCTTTATTAACCATTAATCTTTCGGGAGCTAGCGGATAACTGTTATGATCTTTATGTAACGAACTTGGATATTCCAAGTCAACTTCTAGTATGTACCCTTTATTCACTTCGATATTATTGATATTATTCACATTGATATCATCGACCCATTCAAAACCACCTGTGGGTAAAGGTTGACTCATAGCCCATCCGTACAAATTGTTAGCGTCGAGATATAATATGTGCGTGTCGGGTTTACTGGGATCGTATCCTTCCACTAATTTATTATTAGCCTTAGAATACCTTTTAGCTGCCATCGATATACCACCTCTTAATCCTTTCTCAATAAACAAGTGCATATCGTAATCTGTTAGTAATTTTAGTTCTACGCCGGTCTTCTTCAACAATGCATCCCACGATAGTCCGGGACTGGAATAGTACCATGCCGGGTCCAAGCCGTATTGTTTGAAACATGTCTTTCTAAATATCTCGAATATATCGGCGAGTAACAGTACATCTGTTTTTAAGTACAGATCGTGATAATCGCCTAAATTCTTACAACCTAATTTATCCCACACCGTCAGAGCGTGTTCATAATCGGCATCTGTTATTCTAGATTCTGTTAAGTTACTATAGAATGATTCGAGGGGTGGTAATTCAGTTTCTTCGAATCTAGACCAATCATCCATATATTCGTAAGGATATACACCTTTTCTCAGCAACAAATGACGAGTTATCTTATCGGTATATTTATTTGTTATCGCGAAGTCATCGGGATTGTTCGCATTAGCTAAATTGTCCAGGGAAGATAACAGAAACTGTACGGAGTCTATGAATCTAAGCCCATTACTTTGCTTTGTTCTAGATTTCCCATCCTTGATCCTATAATGTATAGGTTTAGTCAACGAGAACGATATGTATTTTTCCATATTGTTAGGAATGCACGTTAAACCGCCGTCGGTCTTCGAGATAGCTTGCATAATGAGATGTGAATCGTATCCCCTAAGGTTATGAAACACAACGGGGATGGGTATTGTTTGAGAGTTCATTTTTAGTTTCAAGTTACACTCGTTATGAGCGGCTCCCCGATAATTACCCGTGACGTGGCAATGATCTCTTATGGAATTCCCATCCAGGGGTTTATTACAAACGTGACAACTCGTTGACTTCTTATAGGCACTCCAATCATCCCTCGTCATACGCATGGGTATCTTACACGATAGTTTTTCCCTGATTATTCTCTCTTCATTTTGTAGATATTCTAGGAACTTTCCCGCTGCATCGGGACCTCTGTAAATCACGGGAGTGTTTGTTTTCCCATCATACCTTACAACTATATATCCAAACCCACAAGGAATATGTTCTTGAGTTTTGTACGTAAAACTATTATCTTGATTATTATGGTTGGTATTTTCTATGGGTTTGATAAGCGCTTCGAAGTCGGCGTAAATTACGTACGGTACTGGCATTTGATTACAATAATGTTCAAATTTTAATATATTTTTTCCCTCTTTAGGCATATCGATCCTGATAGCATTCTGCCCAACACCTCTACAGTCTTCTTTATGCGCTTCTAAT